ATTTTGATCTCTCTCTTAAATCAAACAAATCTCTTCTTCTCCTCTAACTTTGGCTCACATAATACTCGTTCTACTTTCACAGGTCTGCTGCAAGGTAGTTGTCTTAGTCCATTACTTTTCAATATATATTTGAGCATTGCCGAAAAAAATCTAACGTCCCTCGGGCATCAATGTCTCCTTTATGCTGATGATATGGTCATTTTCACTTCTATTAATTCTCTTAGTGTTGCTRTTGAATATCTAAATTCAGCTCTTAAAGACCTAAAAAYCATATTAGATAGGGTATCTTTTGAAGTTGCTCCGGAAAAATGTAATTCTGTTATTTTCACTCGACGTAGATATATAGATCTTCCTAACGTTTACTACGATAACAAAGCCATCTCCTTTGTTCCCAATGTCACATATTTGGGCATCATACTAGACACAAAACTACGCTAGAAACCATATATAACTTCAATCTCAGCTACTATTTATCGTTGGTCCAATTTCCTTAGAGTAGTGTCGAATACCTGGTGGGGCTCTCACCCCTCCTGCCTATTAACAATTTACCGCACTCTCATTCGATCCAAACTAGACTATGGTTGTTTCTTTTTCGGYTCTGCTTCMTTCTCGAATTGGAAAAAAATAAACAAACTGCAAATTTCCTGTTTGATGAACATTATGGGTTTCGTTAAATCCACTCCTTGTCCTGTCATTGAGGTCGAASCTAACTGTGCACCTTTTAATATTAGATGTCAATGGTTAGCCGGTAAATTTCTTCTTAAATCTCTAGCTTACTCAAACCATTTTATTTTTGACATGTTTTATTCTCTTTTTCTTTCTTAACGTTATGTATCTAAGTCTATGCCYWTACTATCTATCTCAGCTAATGCTCTGTCAAATTTTCACCAATACATCTRTAAATCATCCAAATTAACTCTTTACGAACAATCATTTGAAGCTCTTCTATTCTCTCCTCTCGTTAGATTCGAAAACCAATTCTCATCCCTATCCTCTCTGGAACTTAAAAAAATGTCTTTACCTACGGTCAATAAAATCTTTTCCGAGTTTCTTAAGTTGAATTTTGATCATTTTATTGTGGTGTATACTGATGGCTCTGTTTCACCACCTAACCTAACCTGCCGGCTATTCCTTTTATATCCCAGAATTACATATTTCCTTCTCAAACAACCTACCTCATTCTTCTTCATCTTTCACTGCTGAGTGCTATACAATTATTGAAGCTTTATCTCTTATTTCAAACCTTGTCTCCAATAAATACTTAATTGCTTCTGATTCAATGTCTTGTTTACAAGCACTAATGTCTAATCCTTTTGACTCTCATCTGTCTTCTCTAATCCTTATCATTAAATCGATCATCCTAAAACTCCATCAAGCCTATTACACCATACAATTTCTTTGGGTTCTAAGCCATATCGATATACATCGGAACGAAGTCACCGATAATCTAGCGAAATCAACGTCCAATTTAATATGTCATGCTCTTACCCAACTCCCTCGTACTAATTTTATTTCAATTTTACGGTGTCATATATCTAACCTCTGGTCCACATACTGGTCAAATCTCCCAGCTGAGTTTGCTACCAGATACAAAAACATCGTACCAAATTTTCTTAACAAAACATGGTTTAACAACCTCAATTTACCAAGATCTAGTATCATAMAATTCAATCRCCTAYGTTCTGGTCATACTTTACTACCTGCTCACTCGTACAAATTAGGTCTAAATAACTTCCCACTCTGTACTCTACACCCCAACGAAAGTATCTKCGATCTCTCTCATCTTCTCTTTGAATGCCCTTCTCTGTAAGTGAAGCGCGCTATTTTATTTAATTCTCTTAACTCCATCAATGTTCCTCTCAATCTTTCCTCCATCCTCAACACCAATTCGGAAATAGTAACAAATATAATTATTAATTTTATTTTGKAGGCTGGTTTCATAATATGATTTTCTTTATTTACTTTACTTTTTAAYACTTTTTATTTCATTGTTATCATTTATCTATACTTTTTTAATATTGTATTCTATTGAACTGTATCTTGTTATGTCTTTCAAATAATTGTTGAGCTGTAATAGTTAAACAGAAGGCTAATAAAAAAAAAAAATAACTTACAAATTCTAAAAATCAACTTACAATTACTTACAAATCGAGCTTTCAAACTAACAATTTGTTCCGTGTAATTTGGAAAAACTCGGGTGGCTAGTGTGAAGTAAGCCCCCCAAGTTAATTTTGATAATTACATCGAATTTATTAACTTACAAATTCTAAAAATAACTTACAATTACTTACAAATTGAGATTTTTAACTTACAATTTACCCGGTTTAATTTGGRCWTAATAGGGGGGGCCAACTACACACACGTATAAAATTAATTAATTTTAAATATTTCAGCACTCGATACTAATATTATAAGTGGCATAAGTAGAACAAGTACCTACATCTCAAAAATAAGAACTTTCATTATTATCTAAAGTAATAATTAATAAGTAGGTATTTTTTCTTAATATTTTAATTTTTCAAATTTATAGTTTTGTTGTTAGTTATCACATCTTAGTTTTCTATTTTATTTTATACAATTTGGATTCTGGAAGTGAAATCATTAATAATGAAGATCATATTAGCYATCATCATAATATTATATTTTAATTATTGCATGATACGCTATATGCCATATGGTATTATTATTCATAGTAAATTGATAATGATACATATTTATGACATGCATACAAGAACATTTTAATAATATTACATAATTTAATAAAAGATAAATCTTTTGATAGCTGTTGTAAAACATTTATTAATGCTATAGAATATAATTATAATCTTTATAACTGTATGAATCAGACAATATTAGATATTGATTTTATTAATTGTAGATAATGTATTACAATTATTTAGTAGATACTATAATAAATGTTTATTTAATGGTACATAATAATGTTAAAGTATATGACCGCATGGCAGTGACTGTCAAGTCACCGGTGTATGCGCTGACATTTACCGTTCATTTTGGTGAAAATTATTAATTATTTCAAATATCCCACAGTACGGACATTTACCAGTGTTGACATACGCAATAATTATTTAGCGAATTTAAAATGTCTGACAACATATATAATCAAATAGATAGGTAGAAAATTCTTAAATAAATATAGTTTAACTATTAGGTATCTATTATATATTTATCCATTATTAATTTTAATTCGAATATAATAATATTATGCTTAAATTGTTGCGCTCGGTTTAGATTACGTATTGATAGTTTGATACTGACGAAGGTATATTAATTATATTATCTAGCGAACGATTGATAATTGGATTGCCTTATGCGATAATATTAGGTACTAACGTCTAAACGTCTCCAATACATATTGTAACTGGATGATAACGTCTTAATAATTCTACAAAATAATACAAAAATACATTGTGCTTCAGATGTGGTCAACATTTACTAAACACTGATTGTAAATGTCAACAATCACCGGTGTATGAACATTGAACGCATTAAAACCATTTTGTCAACATTCACTATGATTTTTGGTAAATGTCAACATACACCGGTGATTATCAACATTCGCCTACTGCGGTCATACACCTCAACATATACATTATTTGAAAATCCTAAGGCTCTTATGACAAAATTAAATATGATACCTCATGTTGCCACATGATGKTAGAGCATTTATTTAGTAAAATTGAGAAGATCCGAATTTTATTTTTTAACGTGTTGAATAAACTATTCAATATAAAGGATGTTATATGGATGGATAATGGATATTATTGAGGATGCGTGATAACTTCTTATGTTTCGCTTCACCTATATTTTTAAGGATAGCCGCCACTGGTAACGCTTGAACCTAGTACCACACTATATTATACAATGTTATTGCTACAATGCCGTTGTTGCCGTGTGGATTGTTACATAATATTACAATATTATTAATAAATACTTAGATATATACAATTGACATTGGTATAAGCCAGCGTTTATTAAACTGTGTTCCGCGGATGTGACTTCAGGATCGATATCAATCGAATTTTTATCCCTCTTTGACTTCAATTTATCGTGACTCGACTGTATATATAAACAGTGTGATATTTTAAATATACCATGCTTATCCCTATTTATCTCATTAAAAGTACATTTATTCGAATTCTGTTTTTAGAATTTTTAAATAAGCTTAAAGATCATTTTTTTAAATTTCTGATGTTTATTGTACTATTTTAGAAGAATCTTGTGACGATGCCAACTTCTGTTTTTCAAATGAGATCCCCTCTTTTTATTGATTAATTATTTAGAAGATAATTTTTTTGATTTATACTTTGATAATTTTTACAAATTATTTGTATTGATAAATCAATAGTAATTGCTAAWTTTTTCTGTCTTAGCCCCCTATCTACATAACTCATTGTCATAAACGTATTATCCTTAAAATAAAAAATTACATAACTCGAAAACTACTAGCTTGAATTTTGATTTAAATAGATCAAAATTCTCAAAAAAAAAAATCTACTTATTAATAAAAAATAAAAAGGGATGTTTGTATTGTTACAAATTCATCGTTAAGTTGTCTAAAAAATTCAATGATTCGAAAAATGGTCTTCATGTGTATTTAAAAATTCCAAAAATCTGAATTTTAATATTTGATTTAACCAACAAAATAGGATGAGCATGCTTAAAAAATTACCCTGTATATCAGATAACCTGATAACTTGAAAAATCTTGTATTTTTGGAAATTTCAGTGAAAAACAATAAAGTTTTAAATTGTTTTTTATAATTCCGACTCGAAAGATTTAAAATAGATTTCATCGTTAATTCAAATATGTATTCAAAATTATTGTCGGAATTAAACTCAAGTCTATTTTATTTATCGCAGATAGATCTTTATTGATTCAAAAACTAGTACTGTAGAATCTCTTTAACGGATTTTAAATACGTATAAATAATAAGCTATTTTTGATTGTTTAAATCAATTATAAATAAAAATTATATTTACCCTGAAGCTGAAATTAAATGATTTTTTATTTAATGATTTTGGTGGCATGTCGGAATCACCAAGCACTATGTTCACCAAGCAATATTCCATAAGAGCCATGAATACAAACCTAAACATACATCAGTTTTATATTTTGTTAGTTTACACACAGATATATGATAATAATATTATATTTGTTATATATAATATTTATATTAATATCAAAAGTACATAATTTTATTTATTCAGAGTAATATAAATATAAGGTCTTATATCTATACTTTAACGAYTTTGAATCACTTTAAAGTCTAGTGATAATAAATATGAATGGAATCGTCTAGGTACTTAGATAATTTATGATATTTTTTGATAGATCACATTATAATTAATAAAATTATGTCTAATAATTCATTCATTCATTTGGTAATTTCTTGTTTACCATGTTTTAGTCAAACTTACACTTAGGTATCTATCATATGTTCTGGTATCTACAGAATTACAGCAGAACAGAAAGACATATTTGACGATTAGGTTGCTAAATATTACGTCCCTACAGGTTATACATCGGAAGGTCAGGTTCTTAGCATCTCATGAGAAATAAATTAATGTACAAGCTAAGTATGCTAATTCTTAGTCTGTTTTTTTCAAATCATTGTTAAATATGCACATATTTATGCACTTAAAAATTCAAAAATATGCAAAAAAATGAAAATCTTATAACAAATAAAAAATATATTTCGTGAAAAAAATTTATTTATTTATCAATTTATTTATCAATTATTGTGCTTAAAAATGTGTACAAACCACACATTTATACCTATATTGCTCAATTAAATAAATGCAAAATTAATAAAATAATAACAAAAAAGTAATATTAATTTTGGAACGAGTACCAACAGGAGGTTACGAAATGTCTTTTTATATTTTCAAACTCGAAATTTCTACGGTTGTCAGGTAACATAGATTTTTAATTTGAAAAACTTCTTTCTACGCAAGACACGATAGGTTAGGACTTAAAACAAGAAATGTCTTCAGGTGTCAACTCTTCAATGCCTTTATTGTATTCCTTATTTCTCCACTTAATATTCTACAATTTTTTATAATATGAGAATAACCTGGATTCTTCCATAATATTTTAGTATTAGTTTAGCAAATTCTATTCCTATTCCTATTTCATTTAACCTAATTTTAACATTTTTAACCAAGTAGATTGTTTCTCGTAGGTTAGCGCCCGATTTTTCTATTTGTTAAGATGGTTTCTGTGATGCATTGAAAATTGGCTAATGTAACTGGAAGTTCATTTTTTTTTKAATTTGTCTTTAAATGCATCTTGAACTTATTGAATAGACATTGCATGGTTTTCATTAAATGTATTGATAACTTCTTTTATTTTATCAAAGTTCTTACCATAGTAAAAAGCTGCATTGAGCCACATACCTCAACGTGTGATAACGGATTGTGGTGGTATACTTAAATTTGGACAAATTTCTTTAAAAGTATTTACCCAAGCAGGGGCTTTTAAAAATATTTATTTTTTTTTTGTGTTAGAAATTAACACGTCAACTTTTGGTAACTTATCTCTAATGGCTTCCGATACCCTATGAGCCATGGGCCATACATGTAATTTGAGTTAGTTTAGAATAAAACACTTTTAACGCTTTCCAGATTTTATCATGTATTTATGCATTGTCTGTGGCATAAAATAATACTTTATTATGTAATACTTTTACAGGCCACAGTATACTCAAGGAGTCATTTAACAATTTTGAAATCATTTGAAAGTTAATCTTTTCTAAGTTTTCAATTGTTAAAACTATTGGTTTTGTAGAATTTTCTAAAGATAGGGAACCAATAATTACACATGCGACGTAACAACCTTCGACATCGGTGGTATCGTCAATCGATACGCAGATGGAACTATCCACTATTTTTTTCGGATTTTACGTAATACGTCTTCATAACACAATGGAGCATAGTTTTTTCGTAGTGTCGATTCGTCAAGTAATTTTAATTTAATATATTTTTCGAAAAAACATTTGAATTCTGAGTTATGTAGTTTCCAAAGTGGAATATAATTTGCCACCATTAAGGTACAAATATTTTTACTGAACTCATTCAGATTTTGATTATTTGTTCTAGTTTGATCAAGCGAATTTTTATAAACTGTTGACTAACCTGGTCTTTGTTTGATTTCAACTTCATGTTTTTAATGTGTTTTCGAAGTTCCTAAATATTGAATTATCTGTGATTTTATATCAGACGATGGGTACGTTGGTTTCACAAAAAGTACAAATTAATATAACTCCATCTGTACGAAAGGCACCTGGGTAATTTCTCATGTAACAATGAACTTTTTTTACCTTTGGCATTTTCTTACAGAAAAATAAAAATATTATTTTATACGAACATAAAAACTGTTTAGTTACACCAACAAATTACCGTCACTAACTAATTGAAATACACAAGCCGTGCATATTGCGTTTGCGTATACCTAATAGGTGCAAATAAGTTATCTGAGATAAATACACCAACACGCAGACTGTCGATAAAAATCGGCGATGGCAATTTCTCAATTACCTACTTAAAATAACTTGTATGTCGACATCAAACTCRCCTTGGTTTGCAAAAAATAAAAAAGTTCATCAACTATCAATAAAAAAAATTTAACTTTTATGCAATTATATAGAAATATCCAATTAATATGAATTTTGCAAATTACAAAATATGCAAAAATGTGAAAAAATAAATATTGATAGCAGAATCTGCGTATTACGAAACGCCATATATTTAAGCAGAATTTTTATAAGTAAAATGTAGAAGAATATGCATTTGCATATGTTTGGTTGGTTTATATTTCGGTTAAGTTAGAGTCCTCAGAGAGTCACTTGGTATGAGTGCTTTGCCTATTTTGAGTTTTTTTTWAAATATTTCGAATGTGTGAGAGATAGTATAGGCTTCTGCTGTGTAGATAGAGCAAGAATCAGGGAATTTTGTCATTTGTGTTGTTGTTGAAGTACGAGTATACCGATAACTATAAAATCGTTTTAGTTTTAAATCCGTTGGTGTAAAATATGGTGCAATCCTGGCAGCTTTTTAGTAATTAAAGGAGCCAGATTTTTAAAAGTATTGTTATAGTTTTACTTTTAATATTTRGAGAAACATTAGTGTTGGTGTTGGTATTGGTGTTTTCATCACCTATAGAGTAGTTATAGTATGTTTAAAGATTCCTGAGTAATAGACCTCGAAATTATTTAGTTATTAATTAATATTATGTGTTTTTTAATATAAGTGCTATACGTGCTTTGTTTTGTGCTCTTCTAGCTTTTTGAAGTATGTAGTGTTGCATTCTTTTCAAATGAAGTGGAGGAGTATTTGTAATATTGAGAATGCTTGGGATAGGAGTAGACGGAATGTATTTATGAGCTGTGACAAGTATTATACCTTTTTTGTGGATAGTCTCTATCATTTTGAGTGCAGATTGTTTAGCATAGATGTAGATTAGGGTGACCATATTTAACGTATTTAATAGCTACCGATAACAGTATTAATTTATTAAATCAACGTTCTTCGGGCAGGTATGTAACTCTTTATCTTTATTGGCCCTCACTAGTTAGTTAATTAAGCCGCTTTCGGATCACCGCAGCGCAAAAACTGATAATATGGCTTCGGTTACTTTGTCAACACTTTGTGACAGGTTTATAGGAATCCAATATCATAACCATGCTAATTCAAAAAAACACTCTACAAAATAGAATCTCAAAAACGCAAACTT